ATATCTCTGGTCATGAGGTTCTTCCCCTCTCCTGACCTTTACTTCCCTGGCTTGTTGCTAGTCATGTGGTAGACACCTAGAGGGGGAACAAGGGGGCAGCGCATAGCCTCATAGGTCTCTCGTACAGGCCCTTGCACAACCACTTAAACCTTAAGCTCTGGAGATAACATCTAGGCCTCAGTTGTGTTTCAGCTCCAGGCCCAGAGAGCAGCAAGGTCAGGCAGGGTGATGCCATGGCTGATACCAGGACCAGCTGCTAAGACAATGACCTACTACCCTGATGCCCACCAACTGGTAGAGACCAGGATCCTGAAAGGACACACTCTGGAAAGCTGATGAATATTCCATTGAGAGCCTCCCCTGAGGCCTCCCCTAAAATCCCTGATTTTGGAAACAGATAAAAGACCTTATGAGGAAGGATTCAGTTTTCTCTCTCTCTCTCTCTCTCTCTCTCTCTCTCTCTCTCTCTCCCTCCCTCTTTCTTCCCCTCCCCTTCTTTCTCTCTTGAACACACCATGCTTTTTCTTCTTCCTTTCTTCCCTCAAGGTGCCTACCTTTGCTTTCTTTCTCCTAAGCTACAAGGGCCCTTTTTTTGCCACCATAACTTACTCCCTGAGTCCACACAACCTAGCCTGGCTGCTCACATGTTCCACTATCCCGTAGCTCAGTCCTTCTACCTCTGTGACTTTCTAAAGAAACTTTTGTTTGTATTTGAAAAAGAAAAAAAAAGACAAGAAAACTCCTCTTCACAGTGGTGCTAAGTAAACCCTAATTTAACCCTTGTTTTATTATTACAAACAGAAAAACTTAATGTAACAATTGGTGCTAAGTAAGTCATAATGTAGCCCTTGTTCCCATTATGACCATTAAGAAGCTTGATGTCGTGAACAAGGGCACTGAAAGGAAATGTGAGCGAAACAACCAGGCGTAGGGCATTGCTTATTGTTAGTTTGCTGTAATACTTTGGGCCTATCACCTAATTTTTGACTCTAATTGGTTTCATACATGCAGTGAGTAAACTGGATAAGAGAATCTATTAGGATTCTTCCAACTAAACTGATAAAGTACTATCTAATGAAAAATTATTGTATTCGACTACTACTTGATTTAATAGTCTATTATACATTGATGATTTAATAAATCAACCAAGACAGATGGTAATAAATATAATGCAGAGTAAAACTTACACTTAAACTTTGATAGTTGCTTCGTATATGTTTTTAACTACATATATAATTGTCAGCTCCTGTTAGTACTATATGACTGTGAGGTTTTTTAAATTAAAAAAAAAGTTTTTTTTTTCTTTATTGATCTTTTTATAAAGGACAAGAGAAGGAGAGAGAGAGAGAAACACTGATGAGAGAGAACATTGATTGGCCACCTCCTACATGCCCCCACTGGGGATTTGGCCCACAACCTGAGCATGTGCCCTGACTGGGAATCGAACTGCAACCTCTTGGTGCATGAGTCGATGCTCAACCACTGAGCCACATCAGCCAGGCTGACTGTGAGCTTTTTTTAAAAAAAATAATAATAATAAGATAGAGGTTAAAAACCAACAGCCTATAAGTTAAACCTCTTTGACAGTTGATGCTTAGTGCTCACTGGGTTTAAAAGAAAAAATATATAGCCCTGGCTGGTTTGGCTCAGCTGTTAGAGCGTCAGCCTGCAGTCCAGAGAGACCCAGGTTCACTTCCCGCTGAGGGCACATACCTCGGTTGCAGTTTGTCCCCGGCCCTGGTTGAGTCATGCAGGTGGCAGCCACTCAATGTGTCCCTTTCACATTGATATTTCTCTCTCTCACTCTCTCTCTCTCTAAAAAAAAAAAAAAGAAAAAATATATAATTTTTTTTAATTAGGAAGCTTAATTTAAAAAATATGAATTTGTAACATCTTTGGAATAAATGGAAGGTTTGGAAGCATTAATCCACTCATTACTACAGAGAAACAACTGGTGGTGAGTAGCTAGAACCTTTAAGTAAAGTTGGAGATTATACCTCAGTCTCCATCCAGTCTCACTTTCTCATGTACTTTGTATGCTTTTGGTTTGTAAATCATATCTCTTCATTTCAGTGATTCATCAAGAAAAGAATCTGACTTAAGAGAATAAAATACCATGAGACTTGGTCCTAGCACATTTCTTCAAGTTGAGATATGTCCTTCAGTAATTCAGTAATTTGAAATCTGTCGCCTTGGCTATTACCTTTTTTTATTTTCTAATAAGAAACATATCACCCTAGTAATATACCATCAACGTTTCTTTCCCCAAATATGTGCAGACAAAAGAGCATTATCCCAATTTTTATATCCATTGGATAGAACATACAGTGGCTGAGCTGTATATAGTTTTGAATTGTAGCAGTAAAAAATTAGCTGTGTGAACAGGAACCGAGAGACAGACTATGCACTATATTTCCTGCTCATATGTTGTCTCAGCTGTTTTGCACTTTATAGTTTCAGCTGAAGAATGTCCATTTATCACGTAATGCTAATCAGTTATCATTCTACTCTACATCTTGTACAAAACATTGCTGGGAAGTCTGTTCAGGATTTGATGGATAGCCAGAATGGCACAGCACATAACCAAAAAAAGGCATAAATACTCACAGATGTCTGGTCATACAGAAGAGTTAAAATCAAAGAAAATTAGAGCTGGGTAAGACAGACGTGATCATAGAGCACATCAGGGGAGTGTAAACTTGCTTTTTCTTCACCTTTCTCATCCAAATGGGTTTTCTTCTCATTAAAATAAATATTCAAACCAGAAGGTCTTTCATTTGTTTCCTTAAACTAGTAGGGTTTTCCCCCCAAAAAAATGTAAACCCCACATCATGAAGACAAAAAGCAGAAATCCTGTTTATTACTAAAGACATCCAAAAAGCTGTCCAAATCCAAATTAGAGCATATGGTGCAAATCCCCCCCTTACATCCTCCAACATTCCCCAGCTCACCCCTTCATTCCTCTGTTGTTCTGGCTTGAGAAATCTGTTTGTATTTTCTTATGCAAGAACCTCTGAACAAGTCATTTTTGCTTTACCAAAAATAATCGTCTAGTGGAATATAAAGCAGTAATTTTACTGTTTCCTTGTGTCATCGGTGATTTTGTATTTTTGTCAAACGATATTTAATTGTTGTAAATGTCTTTCATATTACTCTTTATTGTCCAATATTATTCTTTTCATATATTGTTATGTTTAACAGACTTTTGTTTGTTCAATACATTGGTATCCTTTTCACATTGCCAACTATCCATTACTCTCTTAGCAACCTATTAAAATAGTCTGCCTTAACTGGACTCAGCCTGAGCTTATTTTTATAGCTTTAACATGTTTTTCTATAAAAATAATAAATTATTGCTGTTTTTCCTTACAACCCTTTAATTAATGAATCTTTAAAATTAAAAAATGGCAGGTGGTTGTTTTCTTCTTGGGAATTATCCTTTTACATTTTGATACTTCAAAATGCAAAGTAGTATATTTTATTTGTACATTCAGTTATGTGATTCATTTTCAATTCGTCCATAAATATAAATTCAGCCTTCTCAAATTTGTATTCTTTTTCAAATTTCTTGATGGGTTTATACCATAACACTATTTAACTGTATACAATATAACTTTAACATATTGGGAATTTGTTTAATAAATATCAAGATTTCAAATAAAATGGTAATGGCATCACAAAGAAGAGAGTTGGAGATCAGGTAAGCTTTACAGATCTGAATTCCCGACACTGATTGTTAAGGGCAATCTGGTCACTTCAGCAGACATAAGTTATGTCAGAGAAGAAGTACTCATAAACTCCAAATGTATGATTTCTGAAATAATTTGTCAGCATATATTTTGGGATATAAATTTCTCTATATTTTATTTTGAGTTGGAACTGCTAGCAGGAAATTGACTTTAATTTATATATGACTATGCTTCTTTCCAGGAAAAAACAATGCCATTACATTATTAAGTAGGAAAGAAGTGTCGTTTTTCAAATCTAGCAGCCCTTTCTCACATACATAACTACTAATTCTATTTTCATTCTTTAACAGAATTGTACAATTCTTGTCAATACTTTTAAATGATTTAGCAACTAAAGACTATCTCCTCTTCTTTAAGTTTAAATATCTCGAAAAAGATAAAGGAAAACGATGAATTATAAAATGTCGGTGGCCTATTCTACCTGGTGGATAACACATGAGAAACATAGGAAATAAGAGTCATATAAAAATCTAAAATAAGCACACATTTAAAACATTTTACTAATCTTTTCAAATTTTCAAATAATCATATGATGATTTATATATAAATCTAAGACAGAGCCCACTTAGTTCATTTATTTGTTTTCAAATCTTACTCAATACACAATTACTGAGTAACTCCTATGTCTAAGGAACTCCACTAACATGTGTAACCATGTTTCTAGAACATCAGGCATTTAGAGTCAAGGAAAATTCATTTTAGTTTGATTTTGAGGACACAGAGAATATGCCTTATTGCTCTTTGTTTGACAAAGAATAACTTTGGGGCAACCAATAATATATATTTAAAATAAATGTTAATTCACCAGTCCTGGACATGCCACCAGTAAAGGCTACAACACAATTTCCTATGCAAAGAACAGAGTAACTAACTTCATTTATCACAAGACTGAAGAAAAAATAGATAACCTCAATGCTCCATAACAATGCTTTATACTGTTTTGAAACATCTTAAATGTATTAATTCATCATTAATTTATTTTTTTAATGTGTATGGAGCACCTATGATGTGTCGTGTTTCTGTGCTGGCCTTGGTGAGTAAGCCTAAAGATCCAACAGACTAGAGAGGACAAGAAAACAGGAGGTTTCAATACAAGACAATGAATCGAGGGAGAGATCCTAGGGAAGATGGAGAGGAGGGGCCATTTACGGGTTTCAGATTTTATCCTGAAGGCAATAGGAATCACTGAGGATACATAAACTGGGAAGTAACTTGATATGTTTGTTCATTATTATTTTTTATCTTATTTTTTCAGGTGCCAGGACCAAAGATCAGCAGCCACCCAGATACCAAAAAGTTATGCTTTTGAAATCTCTTGGTGTCAATTCTGCGTGTAGGACAATCAAGCTGCCTGGTGTGTGCCACTCACAACAGAAGCCCTTTTTGATATGTTTTGTATTTTAATAAGATCACTCTGATCAAAAATTTGGAAAAATAGAATAGAAAAATAAGACTAGAAATAGGAAGACAAGAGGAGGATTCTTTTAGGAAATAAGATGAAAAAGAATAGTGTCTGGAACTAAGGCCATTATTCTAAAGATGGAGAGCAGTAATTGATGCAGAGTAAATCAGAAGAGAAAATATCTGATATAATGATTGATTTTATGTTAAGGTTGAAAGAGAATATTATACTTGATAGTGAGAAATCTGCATGGCAATTCAAATTTAACATTGTTAAGACTTATTTATTAACATGAACTCATCATTTTCATGCCTAAAATTGTTTAATTTTATATATGTATATATATAAATTAAATAGTATACATATATATTATACATATATGTATTATATATATATATATAATTCTACTCCCAAAATTCAGATATTGATCAATTTTACATTCATGCATTCGTTTAGTTGTTCTTTTCGTCAAATATTTCTTGAGAATATTCTTAGTGTTCCAGACCTATTGGGATACATAAGACATAACCATTTAAAAAAGACAGGTGAATAGAAGAGAAATAAGGTGTAAATATAAGAGGGATCTAGCATGTACAATGAGCTAAAAGAATGTAGAAAATCAGAACTGAAATGCAAAGGAATTATGATGTAAGAAGAAGCAGCTGGAGAGACCACACTGAGTCCTATATTCAATTTATCATCATTAATCTAAGAAAAACTGGCGAACTTCAAGTAATTTTAAACAACGGAGGAAAGGTAGAAGCATTAATATATTTGAGGTTTTGTTTTTTTTTTGTTTGTTTTGTTTTGTTTTTTTCTTTATTGATTTTTAGAGAGAGAGGAAGGGAGAGGGAGAGAAAGAAACATCAACGAGAGAGACCACCAACTGGCCGCCTCCTGCATGCCCCCCACTGGGAATTGGGCTCACAACCTGGGCATGTGCCCTGACTGGGAATCGAACCAGTGACCTCTTGGTGCATGGGTCGATGCTCAACCACTGAGTCATGCTGGCCAGGCCCATTAATATATTTGAAAAGGTTATTCTGGTTGCATTGTAAAAAAATGGAGGCTGTTAAGGAGATAAATAGGAGAGACCTTATAGGAGACATATTTATTGGTAATTAGCAGCAGGATAATGAAGTGAAGAATATGGAGAGAAATAAATATATTTAAAAGATTAAACCCATAAAGGTTAGGAGGAAAATTTTAACAAGAAAGGAGAAAAAAGGGGAATATCAATATTTCTGGCTTATGGTACTATATAGATAGAACCACTACTCACTGAAATAAGTAACATTGGAAGGGAGGAAATGTCATTTGGAGAAAGGTGGGAAGCATCATATTTTTGAGGATCTATTGAAATCTACAAGAAGAATGAGCTCATAGGAAGTTGGACCCAATGTGTTCCAAATATATTGGTGTGTGTTTGACCTGAAAGAGAAAAGTGTTTCTATTTTCTCTGTGATGAGGAAGATAAGGTCAGAGATGGATCAGGAAATAAAGCAAGTTGAAGTTTGTGAAGATTTTTTTTTAAGTTTATTATAGAGTTGAATGAATGAATTGGCCAGAGAAATATAGTAAGTTTGACAAGCAATGCAGAGGTAAGTATCATGCATTTATAGTAGAACTTGTACTCACCGGACTTTCTCTTTCAGTCCTGGGATATAGACAAGATATAACTGGGTTCATCCATGACTGAGGAATTGCCATACAAGTATAGTTTAAAGAGATGGAGGGTGGGAGGAAGAGAGGGAGGGAAAGAGGGAGAGAGAGAGAGAGAGAGAGAGAGAGAGAGAGAGAGAGAGAAACAGGTACTACGTATATTTTTAAAAGTACAAACTGAAATTATTATGCATAAAATTTAATTTTGATAAGAAGAAAAATAAAAGAGAAAGAAACCTAAAATATTGGGAAAATGAGTTATAAGTGTTTTCTTATGATGCCAAGGTAGAATTAAAATGGCAGTCATAGAATAAGCAATGTAGAACAAAGAAGAGTGACATATTTAATTTAGAGATTTTGGATAAATTTATGGGTGATGACAGGGTTCAAAGTGTGACCATGGAAGAGAGGAACTAAGGAATTCAAAAAATTGCATAAAACAATATTGAAAGGTGGAACATTGATGTGGCTCTGAAATTATTTAAAATGAACGCAAGATTTATAAATAAGATGCCTACATTTTTGTTAAATAAAGTAGAATAATCAGGTCAGAGATTTTCAAGAACCAAGAGAGAAACATAGTGGAAGAATCTTGATTTTTCAATAGCGCAAGAATAAGCAGGCAGGTGTTGTGGACTGAACTGCCCCCTCCCCCATGTTGAAATTCATATGCTAAAATTCCCACTATTTTCAGAATATGGCTGTATTAGAAGATAAAATTTTAAAGAGGTAATTAAAGTTAAGTGGGGTCATTAGGGCGGGCCTTAATCCAATTGACTGTTGTCCCTATGAGTAGAGTCTATTAGGTCACAGACCCCCTAGAAGGAAGACGATTTGAAGATTTTTGAAAAAGACGGCCAACTGTACACAAAGAAGAGAGGCCTCAGGAGAAACATCTCTGTTAACAACTTTGATCTAGGACTTCTAGTCTCCAAAACTATGAGAAATAAGCTTCTGTTGTTTAAGTCCCTCAGACTGTGCTAACTTGTTATGTTAGCAAATTAATACAAGGGAATTAGAGGAAGGATGGCCAAGAAGCAGCAATAATTACCGATTCCTCTCCTTGGCCCTGAGGTTCAAGGCCAAGAAACAACACCCATTTAAACATAACACAGGGGAAATTAGTCCTCAGGGTTGCGATGACGGCAAGCAGGTAGAATGGTGCTCAGTAAAATATTTGAGGATATAGAGGGTAATATTGGTAAATTTCTATTTACAATCATTGAACTCAATTCTAAGGAAGAAAGCAATCAAAGGAGTTCAAACTCCCCTAGCATCTTAGCTTCGGATATAAGCCAGTGGGCAGTAAGACCTCAGATAGACGGTCCTCAGTACAACTAAACAGTTTAATTACGTGCACCATTCAGATCAGTTTTAGATAACTCATTTAAGTAGCCGTTGGTCTGGCATAGAACAGGGAAAACCAACAATCTCTTGTCTTTCACATCTCTTCTATTTTCATATTGATTAAAATACGGCACATTTTTTTAAAACAAAGATTTGTCATACATTTCAATAGCAACAATGGGACAGGGTAAGAAAAATGAAGACAGACACACTAACTGACCTATGGAGAGACATTTTCTTAGGAGTCAATTAGATATCTTGGAGGCCAAGCTAGAGAGATATGAAAAAGAAACAACGATATATCCAATTATAATAATTTCTAAAGCTGAGTAGAGAAATAAAGACATCCTAATTGTTTTCGTAGAGAATGTGCCTAAGTCTCAGGTTGATTTAACAAAATGGTAAGATTCACAAAGGAAGCGAAAGGAGAGAAGGTGAAGAACATCGAGGCTGTCATGGAAAGCACAGAAAAGAGTTAATAATTGAAGCAATTGGGTAACTTATTTTTCATAACGAATCAACATAGTTAGATGTAAATATATTTTTAAAACAAAAAGCTAAAAATATCAGGGAAGAATTCTTCTGCAACCACTTTGTAGTTTCAAAGGGATAGAGTGATTATAGACGGAGAAACAGTTCTGCCCTGTTTCAAGGTGAAGGGAAGGTGGAAGGAAGACACGGGAAAGACCAACTCCACTAAAAAGAAGCCAGATGAAACGCTTTGTCAAAGCCTACCGTAGAAGTCTATTTCCTGTATGAAAATGCTGCAATCAGGAAGAGGATAATGGGCAGGTGGTTTGTTTTATTTTGTTTTGTTTGTTTAACATAACAGATGTTTTGGAGAGACCTACTACTCCTTGGCTCTTGAAGAAACTGACAAAGCAGAATATAGAAGAGTGCGTGCAGGGAATAAATGTCTACGCCCGAAACAAAGAAAAAGGAAAAGTTTTAAATTCTGCCAGCAATATGGCATTCTTCCTGTCAGAAACAGAAAAGAAACATGTGCAATTAAAAAGTAGATTGCACTTTTTTAAACTTAAACTTTTGAGAGGATTGGGGGTAACCATGAAAAAAATGGAAGCTTTGAAAAATGGAACTTTTGCTTTAGAAGTAAAGGAAGTAGAAAGTTCCTCTAAAATAGCTAATGAAATACATTATGGCTTGAAAAAATAAGACTCTGAAGGGAAGCACAACTTTGTGGAGCAGCAATAATCTAATTTTTTTCATCCTTTGAGTCATTGAACATACTGTAAATTTAGAAATGTCGATAACAGCACCTTAATGTGTTGAGAATATCCTTCTAGTTAGCTCTGAGAGGTACCAGAAGAGAGCCCCCTTAGAATGTAGAAGTAGGCGCTATAACACATGGTAAAACATGGAGGATACCATTTGTGTCAAAAACATACAGACAAGAGCAAGTCATGTGTGGGATCCAGACAATTAATGTCACTCAAGTGTTGACTGCTGCAGAGGTAAAATGCACCACTCACAAGAGAAGATAAAAGCTCTGCTCTGAGATCTCACAATAAATCCAGTGTTAGAGTGTGAAGCATTTGCAGATCTGTTTTGATTTCTTATTTACCCATAGGGATTTGGAAACAGTGAAAAACAGGAAAAGTGTGGAGTTACAGTATTTCCCCTGAGGAGTGAAAGAATGCTCAGCCTAGAGCTACAAATATGAGCATATAATTATATTCCTCTATTGCCAAAAGGGTTAATCAGTATGGATGAATTCAGGGTTTAGCATCTTTGAAATTTCATTTCTCCAATCAGGAAGAAAATTTCATTTGGTAGTATAATTTCTCTCTGAGAATGTACTAAGGAGGTGTGATTCATGGCGTTAATGGCCTCCTTTCACACGGTGCAACTGGACTTGTTTCTGGGCTCTCAGATCTTCTGGTGGAGCAAGATGGATTATAAGCTTTTGCTTTTTTTCAAAAGGTTGAATTAGTGAAACAAGAATTAAAACGTCGG